TTTGAAAACCTTGAATGCACTGCGCTAGCGGGCTGGGTGGGAGGGCACACTTCTCCCCTGTGTACACATGTCTTTACCATTTACACACAGAAACAAGTATATTTACATTATGATTTAAAGTATGCTTATTTCTATATGTTGTTGTTTGTTAAGTTAACAACATAGGCTGCTTCCTTCTAGGCCAGGTTACCCTTATGAAAGAGGTCTCTGATCTCAACTAGCTATTTACCTGCAATTAAAAGAAAGAAAAGAAATTAAAAAAAAGAAATAATATGCTTTTGAAAAATACATTTTAATGTTAAAAAAATATGTAATAAAAATAAATAAAAATCATACTTCTGGAAATCAGGCTGAAACATGTGGCAATTATAAATAATTACAATATTTTGCAGTAGCCTACACAATGAAGCATATTTGGCATAAATATATTTTTAACCCACTAAAAGTGTAATTGTTTAATAATGTACTTCCACAAAGTACACCTAAATAGTATTTACTAAGAGTTAAATAAATATATTTTTAATAAATAGACTAAAATGTTGTGAAAAATATACTTTTATTTAAGCATATTTATTAAAAGTTTAATTAAGTATATATTTATTACCAATTTATTCAAAGTATACTTTTGAGAAGTATGTTAAAGCTCAGGAGAATATATCTTTAATATACTTGTAGTAAGCATACTATGTGAATTTCTAGTATATTTCCAGTGCCTTTAAGAGCACTTCTTTTTGACCTGGGAACATATGAATCACAACGCATATGGTTACAGTTGCTAACATGCGGTCAAAACAAGTCACATTTTTAAAACTTTTTACATAGTCATCAAAACAGAAATGTATGCGTCCCAAACTGTGAATCATTTTTCATTACTTTCCCACAAAATGCATTCAATGACCACTTTCTCCAAAAACTCCATGAACTCTTTACTCCTTACTACACCTGCAAAACACTATATTTTTGAAGCATATTTTTCAAACACTGCATCCAAAACTGAGAAAAAAGAAAAAGAATTCTATTCAATTGATTTCTGCAGCAACCAGACTGAAATATATGGAAAGTCTAAGCGGAATATTTACATAAATTTTATGTTTATGTCTTTATGTGCGTAGATAACTGTGGGTAGTGTTTTGAACAAAGTGTGGTTTAGAACTGCAATCTGAGTGTAAAGCAGGAAATGTGTCTGTATTTTAGCAGAATTGGGTCAAGGGGTTGGTAGGGGAGACCGGGAATGTTTGTAACACTTTTTGCTTCAGTAACTATAACTCACTGAATTCTTTAGCTAGAGTTCTCAAATTTCCATACAAAGTACCCACATTTTTTCACTACAAATGGCACCAATTCAATCCTCTAGAAGAATATCACAGACCTCGTGAGTTGAGGTCAAATGCAATGTGTTCCCTTGTTACAGCCTACCCCAATAGCGGAGTAGGTTGTAACACATGCTGGGGTAAGTTGTAACAATCACACAAAATAATCAAAACTAGATGCCACACTATATGATAAGCTTCAAAAACAGGTAGTTATATCAAAGAACAATGTTTCTCTCTTGCTGTAACAGACTTTGTCTGATGACTCACATGCATGAATAGTATGTGTACGTAAATTTATCTATAGAGTAAAGAGAGTTAAAAGTATACTTAATAAATACTACTAAAATGTTCCTAATTAAAGAACATCTCTGCGCATCCTTAGGTGTGTGTGTGTCAATGTGTGTATATTCTTATTCAGAGTCACAGTGCTTGAAGTGGGCCGGTATTCACTGGTACGTATACCAGCACTTCTATATTTTACTTTAGCGTACTGGGACTTTTTTTCAGGCACTGAGTATGGAAAAGGTCGAGTGACGATACATACGCCAACATGTGAACAACATGTTAATGGGGAATACTGGTCAAATGGCAAATTAATCCTGGTAACCCTGGAGTGCGGGTTTGGTGGACCCAGACTGCATAGGGCAATCTGGGAAATATTAAAATCAAGAAAGTGCGTAGTTTTATGTATCTTGGATGGACCTTTTAAAGAAGTGTTACAAACCACCCTACCCCTGTCAGCCAATGTTTAGCTAGCTGTTTTAGCATAGTGGTTTGAAATTCTGAAAAAAAAAGCATCACATGTTGCCAAAGAAACTATATTTCAATCTAATATAAGTCAAACAATTCTATCTGCAAAAGTATAGATACTAAACAAAAAATAGTCTTGGTCAAAAACTTTACTTTCTTACCTCAAAATCATTTTTTTCTCTATATATTCTGAATATGCCTGTTTCCAGACTTGATAACCACCGTGCCTGATTGGGGAGGAAGTAGGTAAATACTGAAATGATCACCTAACTCCTATCTTATCTCTATTTGGTGGAATTGGTGTTGTTATAACTCTCCCCAAGTTACAACCATACCCGGTCTCCCCTACATGAATTACAGGTTGTGGTCACTTTGGCTCAAGTTTCACTGTTACTATGTAAGGAGGAAAAGCTACTGCAGCACTGAAAGTTTAAAAATTAGTTTTTTGTTTCAACTTTCTATTTTTCACAAGTAAATTAACAAAAGAAATGAAATATTGAAGCAAATGCAACACTTCTGATTCATTCTTGTTACATATACTTTAGTACAATCAATAAAGTGAAAATATGTTGAATATAATGAAATACTAATTTATGAAAAATCATTCAAACTTCAAAATCATTTATGTACTGTTCCCTGTCAGTGTGTCTTTAGGTTGTGTATTAAAAGTGACAATATGTGCTTTCTGAATGAGAATTGCTGCTGGTTGAATGAGTTTATTTTGACACTTGAATGAAGTGTTTTGGTGGTTTAGTGACTTTTGGAGGTGAAATTAACTGTTTGGCCAAGATGCAAGTTTTTAACGCAGACTGTATTAAGAGTTTTGAAAAAGTGTTTTTTTGACCAACTGTAATATATATTTTGAAATTGAAATATGCTTTTCTGCAAATTATGCTGGTCATTTAGTTTGTTCCTCTATTTAGAGGCAAGTACAATCTTTTCGATTGCTAACAAGTGTTTACCTAAACTTAAGATACTTTATCGAAACTCTCGAAACACAGCAACATACCTGCCTCACACAATTAACCAAATAGTCAATTTTCTTTTGTTCTTCAAAACACAGCAAACCTGACTCAAAATCAAATAATCCTGTCAAAACACTAGCACTTTTCCAAGAGGAACAGATCAATCAATCATAGCACAACAACTCTCTAAAGACAAACAGTTAATGGCATTACACAAACAGCATTACTTTTCATGTTTCAGTTCTACCTGCATACAGTAGACAATGTTAAATCCATAGTTTTTTTATAATTCATTCTCTTTTTAATGTAAATCACCCTACATTTTTGGCTTGAGGGGTCGAATGTGTGCATGTTTTGCAGCCAGTGATGTGTAAAAATACTTTCAAATACGTTTACGTTCCTTCTCGGCCATTGTGCTCCTCCAACAAATGCTGTCAGGCTCTGCCCAAAGCACAAAGCAATTGCACTCCCGGCTGTTCTCATCTGTAAAACCACAATGGTGGAACGCAGGAACGTCACTAGGATTGAAAGACAGGGGGGGCTTAGCCCCCAGGGCATGCGTAACTTGCGTTTGCAAAATCTTTCTACTAACATCTTTGTTACTTTATTAGAACTACACTTATATTAACAACCAGTGAAGCAGCCAAGATGTTAAGAGGTATGTTCTCTTCTTCCATTTCTCCTCTGTTGAACTAAAGTTACTGTAATGTTAGCTTTTAGACACATTAAAGCTGCAATTCACTTAGGCCAGACTGAGTTCTGTAGGCTGTGACTTAAATGCTATCCATATGCTCATCTAAATTTGTGATATAGTAATTCCATGACCATAATTACACTAATTACTATTACTGCATTGTAAATTGGTTCAATCAGTGTGATTTTGCTCTGTAGTTTGGCTACAGGCATAAATTTGTCAGCTGTTGATAAGCATCCTATTTAAAATGGCTACTGTCTGAATTTGATAAGCTGATGGTGGAAGGAATAAAATGAGTAATGATTACTGTTGTAATGTTTATTTAATGTGTAATGTTTGGATGCATGTATATATGACTGCTTGTATTTTATTATATTTTCCTGTGGGTATATGATCATGTATCTCCTAGGCAACATCTAATAGGCTATTTACTATTTTTTTTAAAGTGAAACGAAAGTTAAGTGGATCAGAATATAGCAAATCTAATAAATATTATGAAACAAATTAGTTTAGGCTATACCTTGGCGCCTAGACCTGCCAACAAATGCCTACTGTTAGAAGAAAACAAAACAGCCCACTTTCTTTAGACCTTTAGACCACAGACTGACCTGTAGAATACTACTGACCCCAGAATCAGCTGCCCTGCCAATCTGCTGCTTCTCTGTCTCTCTTTCCTAAAATATCTTCCAATATCCATATGGTCAATGAATTGAAGGATATGCCGGTACAATAGCATTACAGTTTGTTACAATTGCTAACAAGAAAGAGTTCACTTATTCAAAACTTCACACTGTTAGCACATCAGATGTCTATGTGGACCAGACTGAGAATGACTCTTGCCTTGCTGTAATACAAAATGCATTGCTTTAACACAAAAGACATTCAATGACCACAGCTTTCAAAATTCAAGTATTCTTTTCTCACTCAAAGTCAACCACCAGAAAAACCATGTGTCTCCACAGCCAATTTTGCCAATGCTTACATAGTCTTTTCAAAACTGTTAAATTGAAGTTCAAGACCATACATACATTCAAATGGACAACAATTTTCCAAATTACAAACGCCATTGAAATACATTCAAATTCCTGAAAAAGATGGTTATGGAGACAAGTAGTGAAATAGTATTGATTTGAAATTATGTAAATGATACCATCGACAGGTCATTCCCATCTCAGTTAGAGCCCTACCCCAGTCTTGTCACCCTGTGATCTCATTACCACCTATAAAAGGAGACATCTTTGGAACGTTTTGTTACACCTCCACTTCACTGGAGCCTGCAAGTCACGGAGGAGAAAGAGTGGTATGGAGAGGAAGAGGATTCGTGGTGGTGTAAGACAACAGCAGAGATGACCAAGAGTCTCTGATGACATTAGGGCTACTGTGATTGACCAGGTAATCGACCAGGCTATCATTGAAAGAGACTGGTCTCAGTGAGCAGCCAAATGTGGCCCACTCAACGGTGGCATCAATTGTCAGAATCAAGTGAACCAACAGGTAAAATATGTATTCTGAAAACGCATAACTGCACATTACCAAAATTTAAATCTATTGCTTGTGTGTATTTTTTCTTTAGGACACAATGACTAAAACCCACAAGGGGGATTTCTTTTAGAGAGTCATGGAGCTGGAAGCCCATCACACACCTCATGTTTGTATCTACGTGGACTTGGCCAAAACATGCCAGCGAGGATGGAATTTGATAGGCAAAAGAGCTAAAATGGGTGTCCCAGACAAAAGGGTTGCCAATGTTACCATGTGTGCAGTGATATCCTCTGATGGAGTGCTGCTACACAGATGCAAGAGACTGGTAAACTAACTTTGTTTTGTTTTTTGAGCAAGCATTTACTGTGCTGACTTTTTTTCCCTTGCATTTTTCTGTAGTTTATTTTTGGATTGCTTGATGGCAAAGATAAAGCACAGTGAAGCTTTTCCTGTTTTTCTGTTGCATTTCGATAACTTCCTGTTGTATACTGTTGTACATTTTATAAAGACCTACCATTCTTACTGTATGTACTGTATGTACTGTAGTACTTTCATAATGGGAACTTTATTTACTGTAAAATAAGATGATGTACACATTTCTTATAGTATCCGCAATAATATATATATATATACACACACAACCAAAAAAATAAAGAACACAAAATGATTTACTACTTCAAAGATTTCCATAAAATGATGCATCTGCTGTAATGCTACCTGTTCTAAGTGCTTTTTAGGTAATTGTGTTATGAGTGACAAAATGTTGCAGTTGGAGAGAACTACTGCTGGTGTTTTTGTAAAATTATTTTATATTGAAACAAGTATGCAGTGTTTTGATTGATTTGGTGCATTTTGGGTGTGAAATTAACTGTTGTGCAAGCTTCATGTTGGTACAGACAACAGTGTGAAGAGTTTTGAAAGTGGTAAACTCACTAGTGAAGAATGCTTGTTATCAATTGTAAAACAAAAAAAACTGTTACAGGGACACTATGACATTTAGTTTTCACTGGAAACAACATTCTACGGGGATTGATATTGTTTTGAAATAGGAGACTAGAGATAGGTAATATTAATGGCGTTCACACTACCAACACTTGCGTATTCCATAGCCAACTAAAATATCCCCTTTCCTTTACTTCAAGTAAATTGAACTTAAGTCCCACAAGTAACAGTCATGAACAACAACTTACAGTTTCACACTGTATCACTCACTACGCTGTGTGTCCGTGCATCAGTGTGTGTGTGTGTGTGTGTGTGTGTGTGTGTGTGTGTGTGTGTGAAGTAACATCGCTCAGCAGCTCGGCAGAGCAGCGATGAAAAGCAGCCTCTTTCAAGGTCCTAGCACCCGACTACGGTAGGGATTTAAATTATGAAGCAGAGGAAACAACCAGAAGGATTATTTTAAGACAATAAATCTATACAATAAATTTGTAATATTCTACTAATTGTTGCTTCTCTTTGTTGAGTATATATATAATGTAATGTGTATAATGTAATAAATCTATATATCAATATATAGTCCCTCTCTAACATCAAGAAGCTCTTGAAAGCTTATCACTTCTGAGAACACTTCCTCTTGCTTATATGTTGTTACTCTTGTATTGATTGCACTATTTGTTAACTCTTACTTTTCCTCTTACATATTCTCTCTATATTTACCCTATTGATGCTGTATGTGCTAATAGCTCTTAACAGTATATATTTTCACTCTCTTACTGTATTGATGCTTGTATGTTGTTCCTCAAATGTAAGTTGCTTTGGATAAAATCCAAAGCCAAATGATAAATGTAAATTTCACAATTACATTGAAACAACAAAAATGCATAGAAGGTTCTAATCAGCCCGTTCTCACTCCCCGACTCGCTATACATGGACGCATGGTCAAGACCCATCAGTGTCAGTTTATAAGGCACTGGGGATCCCCATAGTGTCAAATTTCAACGCATTGGGGGAAGCCCTGTGGCGTCAGTTTTTAACGGTAAAGGTTTTTTAACAGAAAAGACTCAGTAAGGAGGTGATTGGGGTGGATGGCGGGCTAGAACCCTGACTTTAAAGCAGGAGACCAGAGTTTGTGTCCTGTGCGAAACAAATAGTCAACATGAAATATTTTTATTTAAGTTACACGAGTTGCGTAAATTGCGTAAGTTACGCAAGTGACGTAAGTTAACTTGCATGTTAACTAACCTACGTAGTTTTTTATCCCAAACCATGATCCTTTCCTGACCTTAACCAAGTAATTTTTGTGCCTAAACCTAACCAAACTGCTTTTTTACACAACTTTTATAATGTGCCTTTTCAAAATGCCGATAATTTTTGAAAGTCTAACTGGATTTTGCAGAGCCATACATGCCTAAAAAGGACGCAAAAGGGGTACCCAGGGCATTAAAAAGCGATGCCAAAGGGCCTTGACCAAGCGTCAATATGTGACGAGTCAGGAGAGAGAATGTTATGTTCTAATCCATATGATCTTCAGCATTTGGCCATATGTTCTCACCCACATCACATTTAATGTGATCTCTTGCTGTGCACCTGGATAGAAACACTTACCTCTCTTCTCCCTGGTTCTGGTCCTCCCTTGTTTGGACATTATTCTTTCTTTCTCTCCTCCTCTGTGTTCATTCAGAAATGCTTATCAGCTGTTTCAATATAGATTTTAAGTAGATGTAGGAGGAAAAACAGGCTTCATACGTTATTTAAGATTTTGAAAATTGTTGTGTGCAAACATTTATGATTAAGACAGGAAACATCCATAGTTTTTGTATTGGGTAAGCTTGTATGTTAAGGAACACTTGGGGTTAAATGGGTTAATTTCTAAAATGCTGCATATTTTGTGGAAATAACATGAATTGTGTTAATGGTATGTTCCTGAACAGACTGATGTTGGGCTAATTTTATTACTGTTTTGAAAATGTGACTACAGATTGGACAAAAGGATGTTAGGAGTTGAAATAACTGTAAAACTAAACTGAAAACTTTTGTCACGGTTGTAAATAGTTACTGTGTTTTGTGTGTGTGCGTGTAGGTGGTTTTTGTCAGTGGGTTTTCGGTAAGTGTTTGCGCATGCATTTTAATGAAGCACACTGAGTTCACTTGAAATTAAATATCCTTTTATTATTAAACTGATCTCCATTAGCTTCTACAGATGTAACTGCTTCTTTGTGGGACCCGTACATTACATTTGGATAATCATGTAAAATGAGAAACACAAATTAGTTAAAAAAAAAGACTCAGAATTAGAATAGTTAGCAGTGGCACAGCTTCATGTAGCCTTTTATCTGCCACAGCTTCATGTAGCCTTTTATCTGCCACAACTATTAATAGTTTCTTGGATGCTAATCCAGTAGGTCAAATTACCAAATTATAAAATAGGTTATATATATATACAAAACAATTACCGTGTTCTGCATATTCTGTAATATACAAAACATATATAAATACACTTTAAAAACTGAATATACTTTTAAACTAACATTTAAAGAGGCATTTTAAGTTGGTTTAGTTATATTTTATGCTTTTAATACATTTTTACCATTAAACCTTATAATTCTTTAAATATAACAGTTTGGGAGTCATTGGTACCTGACAATGTTGTAAATGACAATGTTGCAAAAAATGCATAACTTAATCATGATATTAATAATAATTAATACAAAATGTGTTGTGGGTGATATACATGCCTGTTTTTGTCTCCTCCCCTTCTAGTAAGCCTTTAGGATCAGTGACACACACACACACACACACACAAAACCACCCACCCCACACATAAACCTTCTACTGTTGCTTATAACTAATAACTCAAACCAAAGCAGTTAAATAGAATGCAGCCAACCTACAGTGATGTCATAATGTCTTCTGAAAATACAGTGCGTATGTGTGTGTGTATATATATATATATATATAATAAAAAAGATAAATGATTAAATTGGAGTTAATAAGTTAACTTAGTTATTACTTATGTTTCGCCTATTACTGTTAATTGTACCAATTTATTTGTGCAAATTAAATACATGTACAAATAAACAGTGAAAATTATAAAGAAGTAATATTTTTACCCATTATTACCAATTACAAATTCTGTCTGTGAGAAATAACCATACAGTTGATAAAGATTACTGACCTGACTAATTATTTCCGTTCGGAAGTTTCTTTGAGCAGCTTCAGTGGTGAGAGTCTGGTAAATTTGGTAAATCTGCTTCATTGTGCTAACACACTTAAATGATTTCCATTAGTGTTGGTTCTTCCAGATGATTTCCAATCCACATACTACTTTTGTTTTCCTTCTTTTTGGACATTAAATGATAATTGTCAACAAATTTCAATTCAATTTCAAAAACCAGCAATGTGTTAGTCTGTCTCTAGACATCCATACCTCCGTTCCTCTCATTGGTTCCTATGCAAATCTTTAAAAATAAATTTAATATAAACTTGAATTTTGGTTGTACAATTTCATAAAATGGCTGGACACTATAGTTTTTATCAAATAACTGATGCAAATACTTTATTCGTTGGGGACTATTTCCAGCTACTTGGTGTATTTAAGGCAGTGCTTGTGGTTTGACTGTGTGTGTGTGTGTGTGTGTGTGTGTGTGTGTGTGTGTGTCAGTGCAACAGTGTGGCTCATTGATGTGCTTTTAATATTTTTTAGATGACTATACTTAATAATAGTAGGATCAATGAATTGTCTATCATGGGATTTGTTGAAAGAAGAATATCAGTACATTTCAGTACCTTTTCAGTCATTTCTGTCTCCTCAATTACCCAGGTGGCAAATCATCTCTGTTGGAAACAACATGAAAGCACAGCAATTTAATTAGTTTTTTGGGAGGAGGTAATTATAACATGAATTGACATCAGTCACGACTGGCTCTTGTTTTAACTCTGTGGGAGTAGGTAAAATGCATGAATTCTTGGTTTTTGCATTCAATTTCCACAGAAACATTTTGACCTGCTGCAGTACATGGTCATAACACTGTCTTGTGGGATGTCAAAGTGTGTGTGGCACCACTCAGGGTTGTGTATTCCGGTCACACTGTGAGACCCTGTGCACAGGGATTGGGCGCTGTTGAGAGCGCCCTTTAACTTTATATTTAGTTTGATGAAAATGAATTATGAAATTCACGGATTTCCTGCATCAGTAACACATTATAGAGAAATAAAAGCCCCAGTCTATGTACACAGCTACTATTTTTTTCTTCAAATAAACTCTAATAAACACAGTTAAGAGTCGATACTTTCATGTTTCCTGAGAATACATCTGAGGCAGAAGCTAGTGTGCGATCTCTGTTTCCTGCCTAGATAGTAGATTTGGTTTCAGAAATACAACCCAGAGGTTTGTGGCTTTATTTCTGCTAAGCTAGCTCCGCTCACAAACCGGTGGTTGAGTCAGTTATACTTAATCTCTGATCGCTTCACTGATAAATGCAAAATGCGTGGTCCAAACTCCTCTGCATAAGTCATACACGTCACTGTGAGATCAAATGTTCTGCTGTAATATTTGACTGTTCAGTGTGGGGAAATAGCACACATTTCATAACTTGATGAGAACTGAACTCTATACATTTGGGCTGTGTCTAATTTTTGTACCTGTGTGAACCTGGCATTAATAAAAAAGGGAGCAAGACTGATGTGTACAATGCACCTACATACATTTTCCACAGCATACATATACTTAAATGCATTTCCAGGTACAAATCGTACAGTTTATTTTCCATGCCATGCATAAATACATACACTGTAGATGGAAAGAGTTACAGAATGAGTATATTTTTTTTATTGTAAGTATATGTATTCATGTTTTTATTCGTGTTTATATATATTAGGATATGTTAGGTCTTTTGTTTGTATATTGTAAGGGTTGATTGTACAGGGTACTTTCAGTCATCCGTAGCTTGCCGTTCCATCTTTATCAGACTACAACAAGGACCACAATTGAAATAAGTTTGTAACTTTCTTGTGTTATCTTCGACAGTTCTGATGAATGTATATTGTCACTGTAGATGGCATTTTTTTATGCATTTACTGTCCAATAAAAAAATTAAAAAATCTTATCAAATATGTTTGTAACGCAATGTACGTGTATTTTATGTAACTTCTGCTAAATCTGAGCTAAACTGTACATCTTGATCTTGATTTTGTACTTGAGTTCAGCAAAATTAAATTTGAATTAAAAACGCACACAGCAAATAATAAACAAAATAATAATCCACTGTCAGAATCAATTTTAGCAATAAGCACAAACATTATAAGATGAAACCATCACTTATTACACTTACAAAACTAGCAAAAATCATAACCAAACTGCCAATAATTCTGACAATAAAATAATATCAGCAAATTAAACAAAACAAAAAAATATTTTATTGTACAAAGTGTTATTTTATATCTAACCATCACTTACTATTTTTACACACTTTTACATTTTTGCATTGTATTACTGTACATATTTTAAATCAATCTCAAGATTGTGCCATAGTTTTACACCTTTTACTAAATTAATCTAAATTTAAAGAAATTGTCCTAACACATTTTAAAGAATAAGAAGAGGATGCATGCATTTGTAATTGGTAAAGTAAAAATATTCATAAATTAATAAAAAAAAAATGAAATTGAGCCAAAGCAAAAAAGTATTTTAATAGAAGCAACTGTATTTTCTCATCTTGTAGTCAAAGGGTTGCGATGAAAGTAGAAGTCCAGTTCTACTAACATGCATAAGCATAACAAATTAGTTGTGTGATCATTTACTGAACCGCACTTATTTAAAACATTTCAGGTACTTGTACTTCACTTGTGTATTTCCATTTAATGGCAATATACTATATTGTGTGTTATAAATCATTTATTAAAAGTTTATATACTGCATCGAAATACTAAGTAGGAGACATTAAAGTAATGTTTTACCTGTATTTTTATTTCACAGGAAGGCCTATAGTTTTGTAAAAAATGTAGATTTTACACATACAAATATATGAATTTATAGATTATGATGAATTGTTATAAATTCAACTACCAAACCGTTTGGGAATAAATATTAGCTCCAACTTGACCTGTTACAACAGCTAAATCATTAATCATAATCTAATGATATAATATGTAACAGGATAACACAGGAGTACGGTCAAGACCTGTTGAATTTAATTTTTCTGCATTGAGTAATTTTACATTTTTACTTTTAATACTTGTACTTTACTTAATTCACATTTCAGTGCAGGACTGGTAATATTTACTACTACTAATTAAAGGATCTAAATACATCCATCATTACGGGGAAATGCGCCCTTGAAATGCAGAGCTAAAAAAGCAAACGCTGCTCGAAGGTTCTGCTCTGCTCCGAGTGTAAGGTGTCCATCTTGCCAGACAACTCTTGCAAAACGTTGAGGCATAGGTTTTCCAGTGTTTTCCTGGTGTTCAATGACACCAGTAGCAGTCAGAGGTTAGTTACATTAGAAATGAACTAAAGGGAACTTAAATGTGTCTGTTTTTCTTTGTGTAGCAAAGTGGGGCTGATTTTTACTCACAGCTTACAGCTCTGGAAAGTCTGAAACCACAAAGCCACAGCCCTGTGCAGCACTGTCAGATATTTCAGTTTGCACCTGTTACCACAGTCCACATCCAGGCAACACTCACATGTAAAATCTGACCCTTTTTTTGGTTTATAGGATACTCAAGGAAAGACGAAGTAACTAAAAATTAAGAACAGTACTTGATTCAATGTACTTTGTTACTCTCGACACCACTGGGGATCATTCTTTCAGTTTTAAATGGTTAGTCCATGTAGTTATTTTGAAAAAATGGAAATCTACCTCCCCTCCTTGTTTTAAGACATGGCCCAATGATATAGTTAATTATTTGTTAATATTGAGCGCATGTGCAACAACTGATTAGTTTATTATAACTCACTGGGTTATTTAAACAGCTTAAGTTTCTAAGTCATAGTCATTGGACACCCCTAGACTGTGAAAGTGTACAGAAAGATTCAGCCTGGATGGACATTACGTTATGGAGGCCATGGCCACTTGGGATGGGTATCGCTACTCGATACCTTCACGGTAAACAGCCCAGTATCGAGTAGTATTAACACGTCTCTAGTCAAACCAGTAATTCAAACAATACTTTTTCTAGCCAGATTGCTGTTTTGCTTGCAGCCAAACACGCAAGCAACACACTGAAAGAAAGAGAAGAGTACGCCTTTTTTTCCCCTTATCTGCCTGCACCATAAACTGTATAAAAAAAGGCCTGCACGTGCCGAGTCCATGCGTGATTCTAACAGCCGTGCACCTTCAGCTGCAGTCTCAGGCATGTTCACCACTGTTGTAAGTTTATCATCACAAGCTTGGCTTTCCCTTGGTTTCATCTTCTGGAATCATTTAACACTTTTCTGTACATTTTTATTTGCTATTCACATCACTTGTCACTGATCAATCGCTGCAATCAACTGCACTGCATTCCATCACAGCGCAGCAGCGATCAGCTGGTTTTACTCAGGGAGCCTCCTGCTGCAGCTGCGGCTGCTTCAGGTGTAGTTGGTTTGATCGTCTGGACGTGCAGATTCTCTTTTCCTCTACTTTTTTAGAGTCTTTAGCTTAGTGACTAGATTAAACAGACTCCTTTCTCGTTCTATACTCTTAACTGTCGTTTTTGGAGGAGGTTTGCGACTTACCAATAAAGGAATAAGCACTCATTCAATTCAGTTTATTGGTCAAAAGTTAACAAAATAATTTTCTGTTGTTTACTTTTAACACACGTATCAAAAAATGACCTTAAATTCATTTCCCACAACTCATTTGGTCACTAAACTATTTCACTCCTCCTCTCATTCAAATATTAAAAAAATTGCAAACTGTAGTCTTTCCCCTCATGATACCACCCATGACGATGAACTAATTAGGATGAGGAGGATCTGATACAATTTCCCAATACTTTTATCTAACAGTTAATTGAAACCAGAAAAATATTAAATAGGTAACCTTGCTTGTCCATGACAACAATAAAAATAAAATAGGCTACCATTTAACTACTATGGCTTCAACAGGCGGCATTTTATGCAAGGTATGAAGTACTCTCTTGGTATTAGTATCCCTTTAAGGGTACTGGTTTTGGTACTTGTAGCGTAAAATTTTAAACGATACCCAATCCTAATGGCCACTGGATATACAGCATACTACATTGGCATGCAAGGACAATATTTAACTGCTGTGGCAGCCTTTTTTTGTTTCTTTTGACTGTCTGTCTGTGGGTGTTTCGGGATGGTAGTGGCGGGTTTTGATCTGTGTTTTGTTGTGTTTTGGTTGTGATTTTGTATACACAGTCAAAAAGGTCTAAATTAAATCAAAATGTTCATATGTTGTGCAGTATCCTTAAATTTCCTGTGTGTGCCCAGGCTGGACAGTTATTTGTTAAACAATATATATACATTCATGACATTTCATAGTTTTGCATTTGTGATTCCCCCTCAAGAAATTTCAGCGTAAATGAAATCGCTCATTTAATGTAAATACCTTCATGTTGTTCAAAGTCTTGTTCAAAATGGCTTTCCGAGGAAACCAGACATTTTTTTTGCATACCTATCAGAGCTTTTTATAGCTTCAAGATGCTTTTTTGATAATAAGTAGCAGGAGGATGGTAGTTTTGTTCTTTTTTGCTTCTGCTCCGTAAAATAGTCTTTCATTTCTAAAAATATTAATAGCTTGACATTTATCTGATGCATGTTGACATTTGGCTCCCTTGATGACTGCTGAGTGTAATGCTCCTTGAAGCTAAATCATTGGACCTATTTTTTTTTTCCAAATTCAGATGTCTGTATTTCTGGAAAAGGTTGATAATTTAAATAATTGATCTTTATCAAGGACAATCATGTGGCATCAAATTTAAGACATAAACAATATTTCCTCTGCTATGTGTAATGACAGTGATTAAAATCTTAGCTCAAATAAAACAATTATAGATTTTTAAAGTCATTTAATTTCTTAGTTATGGAGTACTTTAATTTTTAGTTTTAAGATATTTATACAATGAGTTTACAATTAAATTGGTGGATATTCTAACAAAGTGCCCAACAATAATATAATTTTTGTAATTAATTGGTTTTCATGTCATAACATTTTAAAATGAAATATTTTTAAAAAACAAAATTTTGGTTCCTAACAATTATAAGCTGTTTCTTATTAATAGCACATTTAAATTAAGCCAGTCATTAGAGCGTTGACATCCATTTGCGTTGCTGTGTTTAAAGAAACTGATGTGATCTTTTTGGAAAGAAATACATTTTAATAAGATGCAACTGAAAATGTTTAAGACATCAGACTTTGTGCATTGCATCATTCTCCAGGGATGGGTGTACTGTCCTTTCTCCCACAGTTGAGGCAGCGATTAGTATAATATAAATCAACATCTATTTAATGGGTGTGAATTCAAAACTCCATCAATTAAAAGCAGAAAAAATATGTCAGACTTTCAGTCTTTATTAGAAACGGGGCAAAAAAGGTCAAATAGTTTTTAGTTGTAAAACTTTTACAACATATAATTTATCAATAGTCATCAATTTATCAGTCTTGTGAAATCTGTAGACCATGCACACCACAGGTTTGTTGCACATGTTCCGCTTAGTTTCTCCATAGTTGTGTCATTCATCATCATAGTGAATGTCAGTGTTCATAAATTTGCTTCATACATATGAATATTGTATATGCTTGAGTACTGTAGCCTTCACCCATTGATTTGTTACAAAAAAAAATCTTGAAGTTTCTTCAACCAATAAGCTTGCTGTATGTTTTGTTAGTTTGCCTAAATTGTGAGACAATATGTGTGAGTCTAAATATGTTCCATATGCATAACAGCTCATATCCATTTTTGGTGGCCACGTCCTTCATATAAAGCTGAGCTGATCATTCATCTGCCTCACTCTCTAGTTATGAGCTGTGGTGATGATGTGGTTCCTCCTTTTCCTCTGCATAGCTCATATTGAGCCGGTGATCTTACAAGGCAAGTTAAAGCTATTCTCTTTAGATTTAACTATCGATATGTGTAACAAATTAAAATTGGATAGTTGTTTACCTAATTCAACACTTTTTGAGATGAGAAAAAAATTATCATCCAGTGCTCCAGGCTTTCCATATACTATATTTAAGTCAATAATAGCTATTTTTGGAAGGTAAGCACAACAGCACAGAAGTTAATCTAAAAAAGATAATAGTTTATGTTTAATACCGTATGCATTGAAAACTTGTGATGTTGTCTTTATGTTAATTTCCATGGGATTATTTTCCTATCTTCTCTAAGTGTGGTCATTCAATTTGAGAGCATGATTTATTGATTTTGCATTCAAGATTTTTAAGGCTTTCCCTCAAAACCCACGACTCAAACAGCCCCTGCTTGCGGTTAGATTCTTCTCAAAGTGTGTGTTTAAACTCAGATATATTGTTGCTTGCACAGATTTCCAGCTCTCCAGCTTCAGCCCTTCTCCTTACTCTCAGGCTGTTCCAGTCTGCTCGTGAAACGTTTGCCCCCAGATTTCTGCTCTGCTCTGAAATTTTTTTGTGCAATAATCCTGTCAAAATCCCCCAACCAATAGAATGCCAGGTGTAGAGCTGACTAAACACTTAGATGCGGGCGCGTTAGCTTTACTTCTTATAACATCATGTACATTACCCTTTTATTGAGTTCATCCAACTTCCGACTTTCACAGCTTTATTATATACTTCCTATGCTTTCTTTACAACTTTTGGAATAAAAGGAGAGTTATTACAGTATATCAGCACCCATTCTTTTTAATTTAACAGATAAAACCCATATACTGTAATAACTTAATACCACACCAGCCTCGGGTGCTAGAGGAGAAAACGTCACGTTAGTGAGTCCTCATCTATGTTTTTTATTTTAACGGTGCTATTACTTCCTTTATATTGAAGTGATAAAGTCATATTTGCAGCATAAGCTATTATATAGTCAAAAAGTGGTATACCACTGGTATATGTAATAACTGTCCTTTTTTGTCAAAAGTTGTAAAGAAAGTATGGAAGCATATAAAGCTAAGTATAAAGCTGTGGAGGGCAGGAGTGGATGAACCCAGTAAAAGAGAAATGTACTGGATGCTATAAGAAGTAAAGTGAACGTGCCCGCATCAAGGCAGGGAACATTTGATTGGTCAACACTACACCTGGCATTGTATTGATTCGGTGGTTTTTGCACAAAAAATCTGAGAGCAGAGCAGAAATATGACAGCATCTGTTTCACGAGTACGCAGAAATAGCCTGAGCGCAAGAAGGGCTGAGGCTGGAGCGCAGATATACATAACTGAGTTTAAGCACACATTTAGAGCAAATGCGCAAGCAGAGGCTGTTTGAGTCCAAGGACAGGGTTTTGAGTGAAAGCGTTACAAAATCTGAACTTGAAACCACTAAGTAATGCTCTTAAATCTAGACCACGCTCTTGATGGGAAAATAAACCTGTAATTTGTAGATGTGTAAAAAGATGCAGGCATAGTCAATTTTCCATCAATTTCTATTATATCAGTGAGCTTGTCAAACTTTTGCCACATTTTCATTTTCCATGAAATAATTCTGAAAATTATCAAAAGTTCTACCACACATCCTCTGACAAATTCACGTCTTTTAACACAAATGTCCATTATTTAAAAACAAAACATTTACATCAAAATTCTTTCAAAATTGTGTTAGGCCTATATGTTGTTCAGTCAATTTGGTTGGAGAGCATTCTATAGTTATCTTAATAAGTTGTAAAGCACCACAATCAGGAAAAATTACTAAATGGTCCAATACTACATCTGGCCGCTGTGCAAAATTTCATGACTTTGCTAAATTACATTTAATAAAATCAAATAGGAAGAAGATATGAGAGAAAGAAACAGAACAAAAACCTAATACCTAAATCTTAATTTGAATAATATTTTCAACTTGAACAACATTATTATTGCCAATTAAGCAAATAATAATTAAAGTTTATAAAGTTTCCAAAGCTGAATTCATATTTACAATACTTGGATTTAAATGGAGCTTTTCTGTCAAGGAAACTACTGTTTTTCTGATAATTAGTACCAAATGACATAGTCCAAATCAGGAAACAGTAGAGGAAATTATTCTGAAATTACAGATTTGTAAAATAAAGAGAGGATTGTAATACATCTTAATATATAGTTTGGGGTGCAAGCATTTCGTTTTACAACCCTGTTGTAATATGACAATTAAATGTAGCTTGAACCTTAAACCTTATTTCTCTGTTACACAATTTATTTACTTTGGATGAAATATTTTGGACTGACATTATCATTAAATAGCAACACATGAAAGGGCATTTAAAAGATTAAAAAAATGTTTTCATGGGAGTCAGAGTTTTGCACAAACTTATGCAAAGTTGTAGAATTTGACTCATTTAAAAAGAAATGTTACATAGCCATGGTTGATGGTTCAGAAACAGGTATGGATCAGGTATAAAACAATTTGATAGCAACCTCAAAATTTACAACAAATAAATGAATAAAGGCTACAAAATGGAAACTTATAAACTAATATGTTTATCCGTACATAATTCTATATATCTCCTGCCATGTAACCAGATGAAAACAGACTGATTCTAAGGGATGGGAGCAGACCGTGTGAAGGCCATGTTGAAATCTATCATGAGAAGAAATGGGGCTACGTTGGAGATAAAGGCTGGAACAGGGCTACTGAAGAAGTGGTGTGCAAAAGCATAAACTGTGGGGAACCTATGGAGGACTTAACAGTGGATGTGGCGCGGCCCTTTGGTAGCACAGTCTGGCTCAATGAATTAAAGTGCAATGAAAACGATAAAAATCTGTGGGACTGTGATTTTCCTGGCTGGGCTATCAGCTTTTACCCTGAATTGACAGTGAAAAAGATACATGTACAAGTAAGCTTAAACTTTTATTTTTTACATTTGTTGAGATACATGTTGTTGAGAAGTACACCTTTGAATAATGATCATGATGATTTTTGGCAGTTTGTTTTATTTGTAATTGACGGTTACTTGTTTTTGCTCTTCTAGATAACATTAGCATAAGCCTGGATGGATATGACTGTGCAGGAGCTGTCCAGTTTTCCATAAATGGAAAAAAAAGTTACTTTTGTGACTTGGGTAAGATTAGGCAACATGCATACAGAACAGGATTCACTGAGTGATTAATGTGAAGTGCAATGTGAAGTACATGAAGTAACTAATATTGATTAACACAGAGTGGCAATACAGCACTTCCTCATTGTGCCAATGGGACAGAAATATTTTTTAGAAAAAGGCCAATATGTCTTCATAATGACATTTTGGATCTTGTTTTGTACACACTCTCATTATCCTCGTTCCATTAGCTTCCATACTTACCGTAACGCAACTTTGCTGTTTTGAGTTTGATTATATTTCTATATTATTATCCTTTCTAATCTTACCACTTATTTGAGTATCACAGTACTGTGAAATTGTTTAGTACTATGATAATGATATGTAAATATTGTGATTCATTTCACATTAAGGTGAAAGAGAAGCCAATTTTTTGTGCGAAAGCCTCAATTGCAGTGCGTCCAAGGAGATCGTTAAGGAGGAATGGATGGGTTGGAAACACTTACAAAACTCAGAGATGACCCTCAACTGTGCAGGCATTAATGATGTACAAAATCTGTGGCAGTGTGCAAAGCAGGGACCACAAGTATGCAAAAATCCTGTTTCTGTCATATGCAAAGGTAACACACACTCACACATAGTAACTAAGTTTAGTCATTTGTTGCAACATATCAGTGAATTAAGAAAATAGTTTATTTAAACAGATCATGAAAGACTGCAACTCGAAGGAGATCCATCAAATGTATGTTCTGGGAAAACGATGGAAAATGGCAAAAGGATTTCTTATAATAACAGCAAATCCAGCCTTAATGTGTGCCAACAAATGAACTGTGGTACTGTTTATAAGCAGACAGGCGATAAAGTGACATGCACAGGTAATTCAACCTTTTAATGTTCAACCACATTTCTCGCACACTTTCTCGCAAGCAACCACATTGTTATTGTATTTCCAGATCAAAACAACATTTTCATCCTGATCTTGTTTTGTCTTTTCTATTATTATTTCAACTGAAACAAATATACATCTAAAAAACAAGCCATTTTTATTCACCCTCTATATTACTATATTTTTATTTTCCACAGACAATATTAAAGTTGTTCTAAGGGAAAACAACAAACCCAGCACCTGCTATGGTGCAGTACATATTCAAGTGAATACTTCATTGCTGCCTGTGTGTGGCAACAGCTGGACCGAGAAGAATGCTGAAGTAGTTTGCAAGGAGCTAAACTGCGGGAAGGTGAGTTCTTAGTGTCCAGTTTCAGTGGCACAAACAAAATATTTGTATTTAATGCAGGCCTTTGTAATGTTGTGACAATTGCAGGACAATGCTAAATGTTGTCATCAAAATATCTACATACAATTTACTAACATAAAAAAGGACAGTGAACTAAACACAGGGGTGTATTTTGTTTTAGATCATTATTCATTTAGCTTTTCACTTTCTTGCTAAGCGACGAGCATGTTGTCCAAAATGTCAAACTATTCCTTTCAAGTACAGTATTATATCTATGTTTCAGTAATGAGTTTTATCGTTATTATTATTTTTATTGTTATTGTTAGTTTGGTTTGTTATTGTAGTTTGGTTTATTATTATCTTAGTTTCTCTCTAACTTACTGCTCTTTTTGAGTCAAGCAAAGTTTTCTATTTGACAAAAATGAATGATATCAAAAATGATCTCCTCTAGGTGGTTCCTTTTGATAAGACGAAAAAAACAACAACAAGAAGAGGCATAATGGACTATGTGAAATGCTCAGGCGAAGAGTCTTCACTATGGCACTGTAGGGCCAAGCGTGACAAAACACCTTTCACATGTGATTCCATGGCCTACGTAGTCTGTGCAGGTGATGTGTGGCGGTGATCCTAGTTTTTATATTAACATTTGTGGCTTTTGAGATTAAAAAATAATACCTGGCCTGACTAACTGGGGATTTCTAAGTTCACTGATGAATGTCAATAAGTACAACTTTACTTTGACATGGTGGAAGCAAAAATGTGACAGCTATGTAATGGCATGCTGTAAGACAAAGTTTATGTACAATTAGATTTATTTCTGCCCAAATGTATGCTGTAAGAGTTTTTATTTAGTATTTCCCTGTGTTTGACAATTCTCTTCCTGTCATGGTACAGCTAGTATTGACGTGAGATTAGCGGACGGTCCTGGAAAATGCGCTGGGAGAGTAGAGATCAAGCATGAGGGCCAATGGAAAAGAGTCAGAAAAAACAATTGGAAAGAAACCAACTCAGATGCTGTCTGTAGACAACTGAAATGTGGAAATAAAGGAAAATCCAACAGTTCTGAAAAATTCAGTAAGGGTTCAGGTCGTTTCCTGGATGACAAAGTAGACTGCAGTGGAAACGCCGCAAACATAAATGAGTGTTTTGAAAAAAACCAACAACACTCAGGTAAAGAGGACGAGCCAGTGGGGATAATCTGTGAGGGTGAGTGTTTTTCAGTTATTCTGTTTTGCCCTTTGACCTTCTCTTGTGGTATGTGACATTGTGGCACATGTGGCATTCTCCAGTTCTATACAGTGACAGTAGAGGTGTGTATGAAATGTATTAATTCATTTATTTCACCACCTGGGGGAAACAGCTGTAAACGCAATTGATATCACCTCAAAAAATTGTTTGTTGCTTAACATTTTAGCAAACGTTAGTCGTTTAATTACACATCTGGCACAAAGCAACATTGGTGTCCTTTTGAGGTTGTGTTTCAGGCTACCTGACAAATGTCCAGTCCAAGATTCACTCTGCTTTTAGTTCTTCAATAACTCCTGAAGGAAATATCTGTCTCCACTATGCTAACCAGCTAGTTGCTAACATTATCTGTCTGCTGTGCTGAGCAGGTAGTGTACACCGGGTTTACTCAAGCTTTTTTTTGCTGAACACAGCTTCTTGCTGCTGCTTCTGAAAGCAAGGCTGATGATGTTGTTCAGACCGAACCAAAGCAGTACAGTTGCAGGATGTACAACCGAAACAATAAGCTGAAAGATGCTAAAATGCTCTGTAGAGGTTACTGCAGGTAATAATTTTGATATGGATAATTCTGTGTGGGTTTGCCAGAACAAGTGACAAGAGCTGGCCTTAGCTATGTTTAACCTGTTTTATTTTAAACTGGCCCCGCCTTCCAAAGGGCTTCTACTGACTTGAAGAATTGAATAATCCACCCACTTTAAGCAGGCCTACTTATTTCACTTAATGTGTCCAGACATGGTGCTGCAACCCCACCAGCCCCTTAAAATTAAACATTCGTAAAATACATCAACTGATAATAAAAAAAAGTGTGATGCAGTCTGCAGACTGGCAGCAGAGCGTGACGTTCTTTGATCCTGAAGTCTAATGTTGCTGCAGTTCTGTGGTTTTCTTGTTCAAAATGTGCATCTCACATTGGTTTCAATTTCCCAATTGGGATCAAATACATTAATAAAAACTTTGATAGTGGCTGGTGCTAAAACGGATCTCAGTCATGACAGCAACAGCTACTCACATAATCACGTCCTCTTATGTGACTGTGCCTACAAAATAAAAACCCAAGAAAGTTTTTTGCAGCAATGCTTCATTTGGAATTTTACTGAAACGTAAATCCACTGAATAAGAAGTGCAGGAATTTCCTCTGCCTGGAGATGCTGGGGAAATGAAAATAAGCGTCCATAGGTTGATGGATGTGGATCAATCGAAAAAAGCACAATATTCCTATAGTCATTGTTTATATATAAAATATAGTGATATAATATTATATATATAATACTTTTATTAGCAATACTACCTTTCTACTACTAATTCACTTTTCAATGGACAAGTTGTCATATTTCTTTTTTTTTACACACAGTTACATGCTTCTGTTCTGTGAATTTTATGTTACCAAATTGTATCAATAAAATATGCCCATATTTAAAAATTCCAACAAAATGGAGCACGCTGAAAAAGGTTTTGGTTTTGAAAAAAAATTTCAATCAAAATATCACAGCTCAAAATGTACTCCAAATGCCTGAGCTGAGCATTTAACCGCTCAGGGAAAAACATAACAAAAACAAAACAAACAAATCCAAAATATGTACATATGTTTGTTTAGGTTTTCTGGACTGAAAACAACATTCTTCTTCTTTTCTTTTAACAACCTAGGTCCAGAGTTACAGTTTAATGTTGAAACTACATCTCTACAATTTTCTGAATCTAAAGAAAATTTATGTAATTGCTAACCCTATTCAAGTTTGTGTGGGGGCTTGAGACTATCCCAGCGTACATTGTGAGGGAAAAGGGAGACAGGACAAGTTGCCAGTCTATCACAATTCTAACACTTTCTCTCTTTCCTCTTTTATCTCTGTTAGATCACAAGGTGGTATTTCTGAAGGGAAAAAAGGCCTGTTCTGGCACCGTGGGGATAGAACATGGCACCAAAACCCACTGGCTCTCCGGGTCTAACGAGACATGGAACCAATACTCTGCAAACGCAGTATGTCAGCAGATGCACTGTGGGAAAGCCACCCAGTATAACTTCATCGATAGTAAAATGTTCAAAGAAGGAGTTTGGAAAGAATCTTACAGCTGCTTACCCAACACCAAATCTCTGTTTGAATGTGAAAACAGGACATTGCCATCTAACCACAGTGACACTATTGCCAGTGTGACATGCTCAGGTAATGTAAGGCAGTGTTGAAATTGAAAACTGAAATGCATTATTTATTTGTCATGTCATTTATTTTTGTCACTGGTTGTCCTGTGGTCCAGTTGATGCATTTTACACTATGCTACTGAAATTGGCCTGATAGGGGTGCTTTAAAATTTCTGACTTTTAATGGTCATAGCTACACTATCACTGGCCTGACAGGGATACTACAATCAGACTTCTACTCCACTGGTCCATTTTTATAGAAACCTGTCCTGTCTTAGACTGGTTTGAGACATGCTGTAGTTGTGAAATGATCTGCTGATGCAAGTCTGCAAAGATCTTCTTCACCTGTTTTGCTATTTGCTTTTTTGTTGGCACAACAGGAAAAATCAAAATAAACCTGGCCAATCAGTGTCATGGGCGCGTCAACGTTTGTGTGAATGAGACATGTGGAGGTGTGTGTGCAGACACCTGGACAGAACAAATGTCTTTGATGCTGTGTAAAAACCTCGGCTGCGGGGATAAAATCCTACATCTACAAAAAAAGCATGAAATAAGTAACGTGATCATCCAGAGCTTGCACACTACACAGCACACCACCAAAGTGAACCAGTGCAACTTGGTCAGAAGTGCTGAAAATGGTGAAGCCTGTGAGAACAAAGCAGCCTATGTTGCTTGCTCAGGTAATGGATTGTTTGAAAAATATTTATACGTTCAAAAACATATTTGTAAAAATCTAAAAATATGATCACAATGAGATAGTAATCTGTTTGCTAGATAGTTTGCTGAACATCTCAGAGATTCCAGATAAATCTTGGAAATTTCTTAAATAACAACTTTCTGGCTATATGTCAAGATAATGCAGGATAGGCCAAATAATTTTACACCTTAACAAAAGTCCCTTGAGCGTATCTTTTCACTCCTAAAAATAATTCTTCCAACTTCGTTATAGGTGTGTCCCATCTGAAACAAACTAAAGCTGATGATACACGGGACAGCTTTTTTTTGCTCTAAAAGTGTATCAATAGGTTAAGACAACTCTTGAATACAATTAAAACCAAATTTATGTCAAGCAGAGCAGATACACTTTGTAAACTTTGGTCATATCTCTCTATGAGACTGATTTTCTTAAACTTAAGTTTATCTTTGCACAAAGCTGACATTACTGACTATAACTGTGTATTTTAATCCAGAACCAGAATCTTTTTTCTTGTTTGTGTTATTAAAATAACAAATATCATGAAAAAACAGAAGAATGACAACTCTGTACCTTTCATTGTTTTATTGCAGGTAGTGTCAAGGCCAAAATGTCAAATGCCAAAATGTCTTCCAATTACACATGTTATGGAAATGTCGTGCTGCACTATGACGACCAGTGGCTCCCTGTGTGTATGGCTGCTCTTAACGACACGAAAACTCAAAACGCCATCTGTGGGGAGCTGAAATGTGGTCATGCTCTCAAGACGATTGACTTTGGACCATCAGTAAGCGGTCAAGTCATTTCAGAAATGCATTGTTCTGCAAACGGCAAGGAGTCATTACAAGCTTGTAATATCACTTCTACCACGAGCACCTGCACTCATGGTTTCCTCAAATGCGCCGGTATGTGTAAAGATTTTGTTTCATATTAGTCACTTTCAAAATGTTTTCATTAACCCTATACTCTGTCACCACACTACCTAATTTGAGATTGCTGAAGTTTTTCTTCGAGCATTCAAGCATATTTGCGACCTTCTATAATGGAAGAGTTCCTTATTTTGTGAAATAAACTATTCGCTTTATTGCTGAGACTTTTTAGATTTAGATTGATACCTCTTTCGTGTCTTTCAGACAACTATGAAGCTAATGCCAGGAGATTATTAGCATAATTTTGCATAAAGACTGGAAGTTGCGGCAAACAGCTAGTTTGGCTCAGTCTAATAGTTAAAAACTTAACAATTAATATTTCTTGGCCAGCATTGAAGCCTTCAAGTCACAATCTTTGTGCTAAGCTAAGCTAACTGGCTGCTGGTTGTAGCTTCATATTTAACGTAAAGATGTGAGTGGTGGGCTATCAAATTTCTTATCTAACTTATTTAACAGCAAAAGAACAAATAAGCATATTTCCCAAAATGTTGAACCATTTCCTCAGCAGCAATACAAAACTTTCATCAAGGTTACACTATTTGCCCAACAATTAAAATATAAGCTAATATTTAGACATAACTAACATGTGCAATACTGTGCAATATGCAACTGTTAAATTGGTGGAGGATCACAGTGTAAGCTAATTCTCACAAGTTTGTGTCCTCAGCATATTATCTGCATCTTGAGTTCCTGCTAATTACATCACGTTTTGTGAGTTTTATGTTTCCCGAATCTTATCTCATCTATCCCTGTTGCTTATCTCAGGCTGGAGTCAGATGGCGGTGGAAGGCGGCAAGTCCTGTAGTGGAAATGTGTTTGTTTTCTCAGAAAGAGTAAACATGACAGCTTTTCCCCCTGACAAGTGGACAGACACTAGGGGGAATAAGTTTTGCCAGGATCTGGAATGTGGCAACTTAAAGTCAAACAAGACAATTACATTGCAGCAGCAGCAGCGGCTATTTATTGAATGTGAAGGTAAATTTTGTTTATGCAGAATTGCTGTCAAATGATCACACTATCTTTACAGTTGTATCTGAAGCCACCTCATAGTGAAGCACGGACGCCGGAAGCAGGAGAAAACAACTAGCCTGGCTCTGTCCAAAGTTTTAGCAGCTAGCTGTCATGTCTAATAATAAAGTACTAGTTAATGTGGTAGAGGTATCTCAGCAGAATAAGTGTTAGTTATTTTAACCTCCACACACCATGAATCTGGCAGATGCTGGAGAAGTTGAAGAGCTGAATTTTCATAGCTGGCACAAGTACACACTGTATACTTCTTTCAAAGCAAATGATGAATGTGTTGTTCATTCAGGTTTTTTGCATCTTTGCATAAAGGGATATAAGGGTCATTGTTAAATTAACTGATGTGTGGATTAATATAAACCCTGGCAGCATGTGAAATTCTATATTCCACACTTTGTAACTCCAGAGAGCCACATCCTGTAGCACTCACTTTTCACTGTTAATGAGTGTTGTCAGTGGCATTTGTTAACTGTTGATTGTGTGTTTACTTATAGAGTGCTATAACAAGTTTTACAACTGTTAAAGGAACTCTGCTGGTATTTTGCCATTGGAAAAAAATCTGATTAATTTCTTTTTTACTGCTTTTGTTCCTGGTTTTATTTTGTCTTGTTAATTTCCTTCCAAGGTGAGCATAGGCTCAACCTTTCAGACAAGTGCCATGGTGACGTGACGATAAATGGAGTTGAAGTGTGCGACAGTGACTGGAAAGACCAATCCCACTTGGTTTGCCAAGCTCAGGACTGTAGCAACGCTGTTGTTGGTATCCCTAGTGTTAGAATGCCTAATCCAGCTGTGGACTACCATCATTTCAAATGTGAGGAGCACCATTACAAACTTAGCCAGTGCCTTCATTTCAAGGGAAAGTGTAACAGAAAATTGGTGTCTGTTTACTGCACTGGTAAGTATGTGTATATTTGTGCTTTCTGTACCATCAAAGATAAGAATATTCATGTAAAATGTTGAGGTAGCACAGCTGTTCACTGCTTCTTTTAGGGTCAATATTATGCATGTTTACGTGCATTTTCAGGTACTCCCTTAAAAATGTATTTTTCAGGATCTTAACAGCCAACAGTGAAATGGTGAATCCATTCCAATAATTTGTATAACAGATATAGTTGCTACATTTAGCTCACTGTCTTTTAGCTCCAGCTTCATATTTAACAGACAGATCTGTACATTCTCTTTCACTCCTTGCAAGAAAGCAGATAAGGCTATTTCTTAAATTGTTAAACTCAACACAATTAAACACCATTTCCTAAAGTTGAAGACATGACATTGAATACTTTTTCTATATTTATTTTGCAGAGAATGTCAAGTTCAATACTACAGAAAAATGTGGAGGTCAGATTGAAGTCAATTATCGAAATAAGTGGGAAAAAGTGTGTCCCCTGAATTCATCATTTACCTCTGAATTTAAGGAAAAGCTGTGTAAAAACCTTAACTGTGGTGGTCTCGCTCTTAAAATACAGAACAACAACAACAAGAAAACGGTAAGGTCCCACTAATTAATTAATTAATTAAGCCCTCATTTAGCTGTCAGGCATCTCTTTATTCTTTTGAATGGCTATGAAATTGTTTATTCTGAAGACTAAAGTTTAAATTTCAATTTCAAGGACATCTTGGAAACACACCTGCATTGCACAACTGATCACATGGACATCAAACACTGTGTCATCCACGAGCGTTGTTCAAACGTTACACCAGCTGAGATCTACTGTGATGGTAATCAAACATAAATTCTTTCCCAATAAGTCAGGCTGGTTCCTAAAACTTTCATTTAGTTGTTTTTGTGTAAAGCAGAATATTGTATTCTGTAACTAATTAACATATTGTAAAACTAATTTCTTATTTGATTAACATGGCACAGCATAACTAATGGACGAAGCAGTCCTACTCAGAATGCAGAAAAGGCAACGTGGCTGTGTTTGCTTTCAGGGTATGTGATAAAACTACCGCCCACAGGGCCACCCAGGCCAATCTCCATAGTGCCTATTCTCCTGGGAGTAGGATTACTTTTGGTTCTGGTGATAGTGATTGTTGTGTTTATAAGAATCTTCATTGTCAAGAAAGCCAAGAATGTCTCATGTGAGTATATTATTCTATTACGCTTATCTTCTGTTATTACAACTTCGGTTAAAATTACTGTTCGATACTTTGTTACACTTTTAATGAATTAATTTGTAAAAGGTTTACCATTCCAACAAACAAAATCAATCTACCCAATAATTCTAATCAATCCAGTGTATTGACAAGGTGTACTATAGCCTTTTTACCACAAGAGGCCAGTCTTTCTGCATGTTAATTAAATTAAACTGCTGCTTTTTTCCCCAGCATTTATATTTCAGCTCTTAGAAACCAGTACATCAGTTCTGCTCACCAATGCTAAATAAAACAAACATCTTACATTCATTAAAAAGTCCAAACCTTCTTCAGAGTTGTAAAATGTGCATGTTGTGTGTCCCAACTGTTTTTCTGGCTTTTGTGCTGTCATTTAGTGTTTCATTAAAATGAAACAGTTGTTTATTATATACCAGTAAATGTCTAATGCTTCTTTAATGTAGCGAGAATGTTCCCAAGACAAGAAGTAGAGTTTGAAAGTGGCGACTATGAGGATGTCAAAAGCAAAGAAAATGAAATGGAAGAATCTCATCGTGGCAGTAAGTCTCAAAACATATTCATTCATTTACATTATGTATATAGTAATGTTCTTAAATAATAAATATAGAATAGTGAACCCAATCCCCTTATTACTATATTTATATTATTGTGCTTTTATGTTATTATTACATATATAGTTTATATCATAGTATTTTTTTCTATTATATATACTTTATATTTTTGTATTACTACTATATAATACATGCATATTTAAACTTGATTTCAAAGTAAAAATAAGCACAGATTCAGAATATGGTGAAAATAGCTTTCATGGCGGAGTTTATTTTAATGGTTTAAGAAGAAGAAGAAGATACTTTATTGTCACATACACATCCATGTAGCAAAATAAATTTTTTCATAATGGAAACACAGGGCTGTGTAATTTGAAATTTAGGGCAATGTGGAAGTATTTGCGAAAATGTTTTGTTTCTGTTGTTCACACAGGGTTCAGATCAGAGGCTGAAGTCATCACAGAGAGTGACACCAGGAGCAATGCCTCATTTTCATACGATGATATTGATGAAGCTGCTGAGGCTCAGCCCCTGACCTCTAAGGCCGCCACTGCTGGTCCCACAGGTGACAATTATATCCATGAGGGCGCTCTCGATCAAAGCAGAGGAAAGCTTTGAATCATCTTTTCACACTTAAAGGTTCAGTGTGTAATATATATGAGGATCTATTGACAGAAATGCAATATAATATGCATGTTTTCAGTGGTGTATAAAGACCATACATTATGCACTGTTGTGTTTTTTATTACCTTAGAATGAGCCATTTCTATCTACATACACTGCGGCTCCTCTTACATGGACATCGCAATGTTGTGCTGCCATGTTTTTACAGTAAACATTTCGTCAATACATTTAATATGTAAGAAAAAGAAAAACAACAAGTAGTAGTAGTAGTAGTAGTAGTAGTAGTAGTAGTCAACTGGTTTATTAGAAGTGAGAAAAGAAGACAAATTTGGACAAATATAGGCCCACAGGTATGTTTTAGCACAAGAACACACCGTAACTTCTCCTTTGCTTTGCTTCTCCTGTGCACTTTAAAAGGGAGAGGGTAAACGGTGCATTCATGTGGTGTTGGAATAACAATTGCCACCCTCACCATTAGATGCCACTAAAACTTACACACTGAACCTTTAAATACCAAATCTTGACAAATCCTCGCATTGTCAGCACTCAGCTAATTTTAATATGCTGTTTTTGTCTTTAACAGATGAGGTGACCTATGAGGTGGAAGACCCACAGGAGAATTACGACGACATTGAAACCAGCCCTGAAATCTCTCAGACTAAAGTTGAAGTCCACGACAGCCCCCAAACCACACCTGAAAGTATTGCAGCGGCATCTCCAGCTTTGGTGCAGGAGGATGAGGACTACCTGGTGCCGGGCCATGATGGGTGAGCCAAAACTGGGTTTAAAATCTGCTATAATCAAATCAAATCTGGCAAAGTCGATCACCCCAAATCAAACCCCCTTTTACTCATATGGACAAACAATATAAGAGTAAAGAATCTTTTATGCAGTAGACATTTGCTGAAGTTGTTAAAATAAACTAAATCAAAATTGAGAGCATAAAAATCAGATTGCGTCCCTATATAAAAGCAATTCAAGTGAATGTATGGTTTGAAACTTAAAGATTGTGCAGTTTGTAAATAGGAAAAATTACATTTGTCAGAAAACATAATCTGAGTATGTAATACTAATTTGTGTACCACCCGTGAGATTTAGTTATCTTTATTTCTTCTTTTACATAAGTGTGTATTATTAATGTAAAATGTGTTGTTGAGGGAAATTTGTGGTAAAATATTTTTTCTCTTGTGATAAAGATTTCACAATGCAAAGATAGTGTCGTGGAAAGGATTTTTATGTTTATATCATTCATTCTAATTATTAGTGCCTGTTGTTGATTTATTGGCTTTTATGAAATGTGCCCAATCACATGTTATTTTCTGATTAAATGTATGCCTACTTTAAAAAAAAAAAATATTGATGGATATAGTAGTTGAGCTTCCATGGTTTCCGCAATATTATTTTGCTTGAGTTTGTCAATTTATCTATTAAATGCAATCCATCAATACACCTTTCTATAGTCATAAAATAAGCTCTATAATGCAAAGATATATGTTAAATAAATAAAATAAATAAATGTTACATCAGTCAAACTCCTTGTGTAACACGGCTGATACAGCAAACTCAGGTCATGTTATGACATTGTTACATTGCATATTTTATGTGTTTATGAGCTTTGTAAGAATGTTTAACCATGTTTTTAAGGAATAGATGCCAAGACTTAGATGAGAAGATTTATACCACTCTCATATCTGAACAGTAAATATGAAATTACAGCCAAAAGTTATTTTTACATAGCACAAAGACTGCAAACAGAGGGACACAGCTAGCCCGGCTCTTTCCAAAGGTAAGAAAAGACACCCAGAAGCATTTCTGAAGCTCACTGATTAATACATTTTATCTAGTTTGTTAAATTTGGACAAAACCACAGTCAAATCAAGAAGTTTTACAGAGGGTTATGTGCGAGACTATTCCTCGACAATGTGTTGTCTTCAGTGTTTGTAAGGTATCAATCTTCTCATTTAACTCTCTGCAAGAAAGCAAATACATGTAATTCCCAAAATGTCAAAATATTCCTATTTATCATGAATATAATGTTCAGTTAGCCATGAATGTCATCTTTATCGTTTGTCTTCAACAACACTGTAGGTGTTGTAAAGTACTTACTAAACTTGTATTTACTAAACTGATTAAAAAACAGTAAATAATAGTAATAGTTAACTGTCTCTTTTATGATCTCTTTCATATTTAAATTCAGTCAGTGCATCATACCATCATCTGTGCAGCAATTACTGTAACTTGTGACATTGGAACAATGAATAGCACTGCTTCAAAATGGATATGTACACCTATAGTGTGTGAGCCTTAAGTTAATGGTTTACTGGGACTTAGTGTATGCTCTGTATTACCACTTTTAGATTTTATCCTCTACTTACAGCTAATGATGCCTCTGAGACTCCTGGGTTTTAGAAATGGCTCAGATGTTGAGTATCAAACTGTATGTTATATAAGTCATATATAGTTTGATACACAGCACAACAAGCCATTTTCTTCACAGCACATCGTTTGTACTCAAGATTGCCTGAAATGTACTGCTGATCTCATCAAGTAGTAAACATTTTGAATTTAGTTTTATCTCCATGCTGTTTTAGATTTTTTATAATCACTTAAACATACTCATAGACCACTTAAACCCAAGGTCAAGACATCGAGAGAGAGAGAGAGAGAGAGAGGGAGAGAGAGAGGGAGAGAGAGAGCGCAGCTGCTCACAACAAATGTTAACATGGGTAAGGCCAATCCAAAAGGGACTGACAGACATACTGGTGCTGCTTTTAAGAGATTGACAGACTTGCTAGGGCCTCACATGTTTTGTCAGGAGTTAGGCAAGGGCCACTAAGATCACAGAACGAACGATACACCCAAAGGGATTAATTTGTATGCAGCAGCCCCTCGTATGATATGTAAACATCACACCCAGTCTCGTTGTCAGAGGCCTTGCTGAGGGATCATGATGTAGGATTAGGTCTGCTGTGTGGCTGAAGCTGAAATAGATACAGCACAGATTTTTTGTTCTGTCTCAGTTGCCACTTCGTCACAGCAGGGCCCAGTGGGGCTTGCATGACCTGGGTGACCATAAAAGGCTTAAGCGCCGTGTTGTTTTATATGAATTTGTAACAGGAAATCCTCTTTGTTTACAATAGAAATGATTTCTGTTGATAACAAGGCAGCACTCTGGATAAAGCAGTGCTCTGCAGAATCCTTGTTTCTGTGATCCTCTGACCCTCTTTCTCCTGGCATTATAATATCACACTGATGTTTAACCTATTAACTTCAAATCATGTTTAACATATCATTTTCCAAAGGATACCACCGTTTTTAGCAACGCTAGCTGCAGAGCTCTGGGAATAACAGTGTTAGCCAGTTGGTCAGTCCATCACTTTGGTCCAGAGTGAAATTTCATCAAGTATTGGATGGATTCACATGCACTCTCATCGTCTCCAGAGGATGAAATCCTACTCACTTTTTCTCTATCACCATCATGAGGTTCGCATTTTTAGTTAAAATGTCGCAACACACATGTTCCACTCAGGTTCATTGCAATAACTTGAAACTGACTAACTGATCTCTTAACTCTTGATCTAACCATCCAAATCAAATGTCTTTGGCCAGTAGATGTAATTTGTTCACATCTTTCGTTTATGATCAAATACATGCAAAACAAATATCATTCCCATCAGCCTTACTGCCTGTACTGTGCTAAATAGCAAATGTTAGCATGCTAATGGTGTGTTCCATTTGACATGGAAAGTAGGAATTTCCAAGTTCAAGCAGGAAATTTCAACAGGAACGCCACCTCGGATTTCCAACTTGGAATGTCGGCAGAACCTCACCAACCCCGACCTCAAAATCCAAGATGGCTGCTACCGGAATCAACCAAGGGTGTAAGCGAGGTTTGGAACAGTGAAGCCGACCAAAGCCTACATGGAAGGTTCCATGGAAGATCAGGGGAGGCTTACTGAATGGAAATAAAACAATATTACATTACTTATTGCATTAATTATCAAAAGGAGATCACATAGAGTAGCCTACATGTGTGAAAGTTCAGAGATACAGTAGTTTTGGGGAACTGTTTTCCCCCATCAGAGTCACTAATAAATGGCTTAGGACAGGCCTTTTTAAAACTATTTGGTGTAGTCAGAAGAACAGCAATATTAGGCTATTGTTGAGTGTCTATGGGCTCAGATAATATAATCATGATCTCAAAGACATCCAGGAATTGAGCGGAAATTACCAAGTAAATTAAAGATGTGGTGGGAGGGCGTTTCCCAAGCTTTGTCAGAGGAGAGGCCCGCAGTCTCAGACTTTGAAAACCCCTAGCTTAGATTATAAGTTCTCTGTGAATCTAAAAGAACTACTTGGCCATCAGTGACACTGTCTTGGTTGTTTGACAGGTGAGCCTTGTATGTGGGCTGATTAAACAGTCACGATCCGAGTCAGACAATCACAGCCAAAAGACTTTTTGTTGGCGCAGCATAGTGCAGCTATGCAGCTATCAGAATTACGGTGTTTCTGCCGTTGCTCTTTGTCATTAAACCACGCTTATGCTGCAAGATCGTGCGCAGTAGGCACTGGTGCCAACAGGAAGTAGCCCTGTAGTATTATTATTATATAATAATAGTAGTATTATATTGTTCCAAAATTGGCTTCACTGCCCTCTCTTCAAACCTGGAGTGTGCGGTATCTTTGTCCAGTAATATCCAGTCTATGGAATCAACAGAAGTGGAAGCTGTAGTACATACTGTTTATCGCACAGTCATATTTGTGTCTCATTAAATCAGCCATACACACAGTCCTGTCCAATTTATATCTGTAGGCATGTTGCAATGGTGTTTGTATGTGCAAAATACCACATTGTTATCAGCTGATATTGCTTACAAATGCCAGAGGTATCAATCTTTGTTTTCCAACTTAAATCTGTTATTCAACTGGTAACATGCTGGTAACATGGTAAACATTTTATCTGCTAAATGTCAGCATGTGAGCATTATCATTGTTAGCATTTAGCATGCTGATATTAGCATTTAGCTCAAATTACCACTAGCACAAATTCCATTTCTGTTAACATTGTGCTTGGTTTCAGTTCCGTTTTATAGATTGCTGTAGGTTAGATGGCAATATGGTAATATTTAAAATAATGCAGCAAGGCTTGTAGGTAGCAATAGAGGAAGTGAGGCTACTTTCTATTTTATGCATCTAAATATTTTGAGGCATTCATATGCACAGAAATTTTTTATTATCAGAATATACAATCAGGGCTAATAAAATCAATCAGGATATGAGATTCTTATTCATGGAAGACCTTTGACACACCTTTATCTTATGCAAATGTTATTTTAGCTTATTGTCTTTTCAGACTATTAGACACCTTTGACCAAATGTTTATATAATCATGGATCAAATATTCATCCAGGCTGGCTTTGTCTCTCATGGTCGTAATTTGTTCAAACACAGATAAATGTTGACAAAAGTTTCTTAGCCACCTCATGGTGTCTTTTTATGGTGGTAACATCCGCTGGGAGAGGCCCCAGTTGTGGTGATTTTCCATAACACAGAGAATGCTATTAATAATAGTGCCCCCTGTGTTCACTGTCATACAGAATGCCTGGACATCTTGTGTGTGTGTGTGTGTGTGTGTGGGGGGGGGGTGTCTCTTTATTATATTCCTTTTGGAAATAATGTGGGTATTAATGTTTACAACATTAAGAAATGTTCATGGGTTTCTCACAGGCAATTGTGTCAGAAGTCATAAATGGTACTAAATCATAAATAAAGAATCATTAGAGTTTTAACGTTCTCAGATTTCATGCTGGAGGAGGATGCACATCAGCCTGAGAGATTTTGAGAACTGGGCAACCCAAATGTTGTGATTATTAAACTGATGAAATGGGCCCCTATTTATCAAGCTTCTCAGAATTACTCATAAGAATTGACAAAAATTCTTGTCTCAAAGCTGTGCTTAAAACTTAGTTATCAAGAATCATAGTCCTAATTTGAGTGAAGTGTAGGACTAAATCTTAAGTGTCAGTCTTAGTGCTGATTTACGACACTTTGCTGTGCCGCAAACAGGTTTTGGATGACAATGTCGATGACCAATCACTGAAGAGATTTCCTTATTTAAGAATATTCTCAGATAAATTCACATTGAATGGTGAAATTCCTAAGAGGAGTTTATATTCAACACACATTTAACAATAAAGAATTTTCAACATAATACATATAGGCCTACGCATTAATAAATGAAAGATTTCAAACAGTCTATCTTTATATGAGCGCCATCAAATGCGCCTACTGCTCCTGTATTGTGGCTATTTGCATGAACTGTGTTTGCTTCTGTAAGTGCTAAACTTGTTTCCATAATTATTCTGCTGATTGATGGTTGTGACGGGCCAAAATCATCAGCATTGCTGCGTTTGTCCTGTGGTAAATAAACAAAGCGTCATCATCAACTTCAATTTAACTGAAAACGCGTTACTGCGTAAAGTCAGTGGTGAGATGACGTCCCTCACCAACTCGCTGACAAAGTTTATGCCTGCGCTGTCCTCTCCTCTCTGCACGTCTCTGTCTCCACAGCGCCATCACAAGCCCTACTGGCCTCTCCTAACCACATGAGAGACCTCTCGAGCTGTCTTAAAGAACTGGGAGAGTAAGAGTGATAATTTGATAACTTGCATTTATTCTTAAGTTAAAAAGTAGGAGTAAATTTCATGAATTCTCAGCACGTAAGACTAAAATGGCACTTTGAGAAGCTTGATAAATACGGACCCTGATCTATAAAGCATTAGTGAATAATTTATATCATAGGGTTAGGTCCACAATCTTTCCAGTTTTCCGTGTTATCTGTAACCCCGGCTGGAAATCAACGGCCAGAAATGGCCATTTCCAGGACATGTGTACGCCACAGTGAGTGATGATTTACTAATGTGTAAAGTACTCAAGTATCAGAAACATGACAGCCATATAGATAAGTTAAAGGGGAAAGTCAGTAACCACTGTGCCTTTAATAACAGCATGAAATGATCTTTATTTGGCATGCAAAGGAAATCATGTGATGATAAGCGTCTCGGGTAGATGTAGTTTCATGGAAATTATACTTCGCTTATCAGTTAAGTATATCATTAAGAGTTTGTACTGGTACATTTATCAGGAAATAACAATCTCTCTCTCATGTGCAAAAAAGTGTGTTTGTGTGTGTGTGTGTACGTATATGTATTTTTAAAGCATATTTAAGCTCTTTTTGTGAGGCAAGACTCTGGCCGAAAGTCCGGTGAATATTGTAATGCCTTATTACACACAGTAGGTATGCAAAAATCTTTTTAAACACTGGGTCTGTTATGTGTGTGAATGCCAGCTCAGACAGTTGGTGAGTCAAATGCCAGCACAGGCTTTGCTGTTGGATTTACCTTGGCTGTATTGGTGTTTGCATGACAAGCCTGGGTGTACAGTCGGGCCCAGGGGTCAGCTGAAAGATGACCCTGGTTAGCGTCGTGCCCTAAATATGCTGTTAAGCATGAGGGGACCGAGAAGGTTCAGGCCCTGGGCCAAGTTTGGGTCTGTCCTCTTGGAGGCTGCAGATTGCCAAGAGATTATTCAATGTAAAGGGACTGAAGAAGGTCAGTAAGTAGGTGGAGGGGGGGCTATTTTACTTTCTATCTGCATGCATTTTGAACAATGTCATGTGAACTGCGTGGAGGATATGGTAAGAACTGTCATCACTTGTGCACACTGCAATACTGATTTTAATATATCTTTTACTTTTATATGTATTTTGTATAGATTTTCTGCGATTAATTGCATTGTTTGAAAATTGAATAATGAATTCTAAAGTAGTGTATTGTGCACTTTTAATTTAAACTGCTGTATACACAAAAGTGCAATAACATGTGCAAACACACTAAAAAACTAAGGTGCTTTTTAACAGCAGTATTCCCTTTGCACAGTAGCAATAAAATATTTCTTGCAGATCTCAACTTTAAACATTAATGTAATCAAATCAAATGTAAAATCAAAGCTATTTAACACTTCCAGGGCATTACCTTTTATAGTCCAGAGCCACGATCATAACATCATAACAGGCACCTTCTGAGGAACCGGTTCACATATATAAATCTGTTTTCTTGTTTGTTTGTTTTTCTACACAGGTATCAGCTTAAACATTTTTCTTTTATCAGGGAACAGCATAAACAGTCTGTGTTCAGTAGCAAGTGTCCCTGTTAGACTGAGTAGAGAATCTATTACTGTTTACTAAATAGGACATCATCAGGAGGGAATTCACCTGGCAGAGCATCCCCGCAAAACTAGATGTAGGCCTATCAGGTAAAGTTATGTAGCCTATAATTTTAAATGAACTTAAATAGGCTACAGCTGTGTAGCGCACGGAAGCTGTTGCCATGATTACTCTCCATAGAGCATCTGCCATTTACTCACAGAGCACTTGTCTCCCTGTCTGTCTGATCACCAGAGTAAAGAGCGACCCCGTGGGGCCAAGCGACTACGTTGTATGCTACACACTGCATGATCTGCAATCATGCAGTGTGTAGCTTTCCACTTCACTATGGCATTTGATCTCTTGTTTATCTACTTCTCCTACGCGCTGCGTCCAGCGTAGTCTGCCGAAGCCTCCCTCCGCTGCTTGTTTGGGTGGCTGATTTGCAGGCTGATCAACATCCCACCCTTCCTCTGACCCAGGGTTTGACTGTATGTGAGCCGGTGAGCAGCAGATTTTCAAAATAACAACAATAATAATAAAACCTGCGTTAACGTGAGATAAAAAAATTGTCGGTTATAATTGATTAATGCGTTAACACGATAATAACACGTTAACGTGCCCAGCCCTAATAATTTGTAATTAAATCTTTGACTTTGTAAAAAAAAAAAAGGTTGGTTGTACTGATTTTTACATTTTTTTTTAAATTATAACAAAAACAATGAAGATATTACAATATAACAAAAAGTTATAAATGGGAAAATATTTGGCTTTCATAAAATGTCAATATATCAGTATATCATGAATATGCATACATGTATCTATCTATCTAGAATCTATCTAGAATTATCTATTGCGAGAAAAAGAGGCCCTTTTGTAACTGACATTAAAAAATCCCATCTATTCCATATATCAAAGATAAATGAAAATGATCTCAGTAAACAATCCACTGTTATTTAGTTGCAATATTTATTAGTTTGTGCAGCAACAGAGAGGAAACCTAAGAATTGAACTGCTCTTTGCGATACTTGACACAACAGTGGCACCCAGAGCAAAAAGTTAGAATATGCAGCAATCTGTCAGGCAATAAACAAGCATGTGCTGCATGGTGCTTGCAGATCACAGTAATATTTGGAAACACATGCTGAATGGTACAAATATTATTCTTATACTTGCTGTCCACAAAACCCTGTGTTACTTCCTCTGCGCCCCTATCATTTCATGCAGTTGCACTATCCAGTACAATAAACATGTAAATCATCACATCAAGGCAAATCTGAAGGGTTGATCCAAATGCTGGTAACACAACTAAAAAGTTAGCAGTTTATATTTGCAAAAAACAATGTTGCTTTTAAGTCACAAGACACAAAATGTAATGGGTTCATGTCCAGGACAGCCTAACATAAGTATGTTATAGCTTTGGAAATTCATTCTTATAGCACTTTTTAACATTTTCTTAGAACAGAGCAGGAGCGTAAAGCAAAATAAAGCGACTTTGTTTTTAAAAAGCGAGGTCTAGTTAGATATTTCGACTATCAGGGAGAAAGTGTGAAAATCAAAAAAGTCTGTTATACTGCAGGCTAATTTTTTACCCTCATGCTGCTCAGAGTAGTCAGTCAGCGTCTCTCCCTCTCCTCTCGCACCGTGCAGGCAGAAGTGAGAGAGTAAGCTTTCTGTTTAAAATGTTAAAGTTTAAAGCCATGACATCCTCAATCATATCATCATGGTTATTTATTCAAACTTTTGAAAGTTCTCTCCTGGGCCACAGAAGACATATTGTTTTTACTCAGGTAAACTATCTGGTTTAATGTTTATATTGTATATTTTACATTCTGGCAAGGCATACAAAAGCTATGGATAATACACAAATGCAGTCTGTTAGTTCGTATTAGGCTCATCCTCCATCTCGCCATTCCCAGGATTATTCCCAGAGGCACTGACTTTTTCTGCTGTCTGCTGCTGCCCAATCCCATGTACCTTCTTGAGCCAGTCCTTTTCCACATACTGTCTCACTTCCCCCACTGTGCACCTCTTTCCTGCATCCAGAGCCAAGAGCTTACCAAACATCTCCATGGCTTCTGGTGTGAACCTTTTCCACAAAGGGGGAATGTCTTCCTCGTTTTTATGTCTTTCCTCTGTTCTACACCAGTCTGCAAACTCCTGGTAGAAGTCATCCGAGTCTAAGCAGTGCTCCCAGGGGAAGTAGCCCGTAAGGATGCAGAAGATGACCACCCCGAAGGCCCAGGTGTCCAGGCTTGGCTCCACACTAAGTGGAGGAGCAGTCACTTCTTTCTGGCCACCCAGCAGGGCCACGGTACAAAGTTCTGGGGCCATGTAGGGCAGGGTTCCTGTGATGAAGCGTATCAGAGTGCCTCTCTTCTGGGCCAGGCCAAAGTCTGCCAGCTTTACCTGGCAACAGTGATGGTCCAACAGGAGGATGTTTTCAGGCTTGACATCACGGTGGACCAAGCCATGGCTGTGGATGAATTCCAAAGCACTGGCGATCTGGAGGACACAACGTTTTACTGAAGATTCTGGGATACCCACCTAGAAAAATCGGTCAAAGCAGGGATAGGGCTTTTTATTTCATTTGCAAGGGTGTCAGAATAAAAAGTGATGACATTTAGCACTCATCACAAAGCACTGCATTACGAAAGAAATCTGTATTGCAATGAGCGTCTGGACCTCATGAATTCTGGATTTGGACAGTAGTAGGCACTAGTGGACTTCATTGGAGCGCCTGCTAAATCTGTTGTCTGACTTTGCAAGGGCAGTGAGGTCTGGACATTTGGATTCAGCCAAAACATTTCCGACCATACTATGCATGCCTTTGTTTTATAGCAACACTAGTGGCATGGCTCTAGGGCTGTTAATGTTCATGTGTCGGTTAGCAATAGGTTGAATTGCTATGGAAGTTGGGACAGCCATTCAACATACTGACTTTAGTGATCCTTTCACATTTCCTCTAGCGCCACCTTGAGGTTGAATTTTTTTTTCCAGTGAAAAGTCTCAAGAACTCTTGGATAGACTGCTGTGAACTTTGGCACATTTGGTATTCCTGGTGCCCACAGGATAAATCCTAATAATTTTGGTAGTGCCATCATCAGATCAAAATGTTCAGCATGTTAGCATTCTGACATGAGCATGTATCTCAAAGCACCAGTGTACGAAAATACAATCTTATCAAGGCTAACGTTGCTTTATTCTGAGTTTCTTAGTCTTATGTTGCCAATGTCTGACATTTGGCTCACCTTTGGCTGGATGACAGCAAACAGGTCTCTCCCAATGACAAGCTCCTGGGCAAAGCAGTAGTGCTCATTAGAGTGGAAGGCAATGCCAAAGAGGCCCACGATGCAGGGGTGGCAGGACAGGTGTAAGGAGATGCAGTACTCTCGCAGAAAGCCCTGTAGCTTAGTGGAGGCTTTGGGCATCACTTTCAAGGCCATGGGAGTCCCTGCAGATTATCCATACTTTTTATTTTCACTGTTCTTGCACATCTCAGCTAATGTAAAATATTTTATGATACAGAGAAACTCTCGATTGAAGAGCAGTCATACCCCTGAAGCGATGTGTGACCAGCAGCACTTTGCCGTATTTCCCCCGGCCAATCTCCTTGATGATGTTGAAGTGTTCCTGGATCTCCAGCTGATTGAGGCTCTGTGCCGTCAGCTCCATCAACTCGTCAATTAGGTTGCCATCAGCGAGACCCAGCTCAATCATCTTTACCCACACACACACACACACACACACACACACACACACACGCACACAGGGCAAAACCAACACACATACACACTTAATAACGTGGTATAATTATAATTTCCACAACTGCTTCTTTACCAGTAAGTAATGATTGCGTCCTGGTCTGGTTGACCTGATATGTAATTTCTCAGTTATAGATTCTATATACACAATTGTGTGAACTATACAGTGTGTGTAAAAGATAAAGAACTTATAGAAAATACATTAAATATATTATATTATAAATATATATATATTAATATAAGTTTTCATTTATGTAATATCCTGTCTTATATATACTGTAAGTTTCTGTTATGTTATTTAAAAGATTTGGTGACAAAATCATTCACTATATTGATCCTTCAACCATTGTTGGCATCCTGGTGGCCTAGTGGGTAAGATGTGTACCATCTAACTGCAGTTCCCCCCAATTGGAGCACCAAGGATGAAAGGAAACACAAGAACAGCAGGCTTACTTCCATTTTTATCTTCATTATTGCATATAATAGTGTGAATACTTATTCTTTCTTTCTATTTTCCTCTCTTTATTTCTGTTTCACCATACATAGTCAACTACAGACCATGTCTTTGTTTCTACTGCCCGCTTTGGCAAACACTTTTGTAGCCACAACAGAGACACAAGAAATTAGGATGTTGAACTCTTGAACCTCTGTCTATCATTAACCTTGTCCAGCATTTTGTCCTCTGCTAATTGGACTATTTTTAGTTTGCCATATTTTAAACTTTTCACTGCACATATAGCTATTGTATATGATAAATAAAACCTTCAATCCTTAATTTCTTGAATAAAAAAAAATAATGTGCATATAAAATCTGGAAAGACAGACGATTAAGTATTCATTTGTACATACTTGATGTATAAAATATGAAAAAAACAACTATTTATTTCTCTTTACTATTACCAGAAGTAGCATAATAGCATTAAATAGTAGCAGTATTGGATATAACTTCATATTAAACGAAATTAGATACTGATCATTTTCAAGTCTTACCTTTTTTTCCGTAGGTTCCCAACACAGTCACTGGAGTCTGAAAACAGGCCAACCAAACACACAAAAATGTCTTGCACACACTCACACCGCCATGCTTACATCTGACAAATTTGCAAATCAATTTACTGTGGAAGTGCAGGTTGAATTTCTGTCCTTTCCGTCCTCCACCTTTACTGCTGCTGCTGCAAAGATCAATGTGCTGAGTGGACCTGAGAGCTTTTCACTGGCCAGCACGCAACTCTGCTCTCAAAAGCTGCGATGGGGACAGAGCCCACTTTGACAGCTGATTAGCTGCCTCTGCAAAGGGCACACACACACACACACACACACACACACACTGGCCTACATACAGCCTGATCAGCTACACACGTGCATATCTTTGTACGTATATGTAATGCATATGCATTCAGAAAACACCGACATGAAGTTCCACAGTCACTACTGTATATGGCAACGTGGTCTCCAGATTTATGAGTCTGTCATTACTAACGTGAACATGTACACACACAATAGATTCAGATGTGCCTCTGTGACCCACAGCCTCCCCTCAGTGATCCCACCACTTTATATTAATGTCTCTGCTTACAGTACTGCCTGAAATTAGCATACCTGTCACACACATGGTGATTTTGGCCTTTCAACACAGATGCTAAATCTACACAGGTCCTGCAGGAGTGTCAGACTTATCCTGTCTGTCTGTTTAAGACTTTTGTGATTACTGTGCTGGATTAAATAAATAGTACAGACACTTACTTGCCACTAGAAATAAAAGATGTTATATTTTGTTTCTCTATTTTCGAATGCGAATTATACTATGACAATTGGTGGTGGGGTGTCAACTTTTTTCCAGGTCATAAGGAAACCCAGTACAGCGAACTAAAATCTTAGAATGCTTACAATATCCTTGCTTATCTGCAGTCTGTATAGGATGACCAAATTCAGTACACCAGTTCATAGGTGCCCCATTCCACACAACAACCTTTGTAGTCAGGTTACCAAGTATTCTAGAGCAAAACTGCAAGCAAGTCAGACCCCTGTATTAACAGTAGACCATCATTTACACTCAAACACAGATTTGTCATATCTAATTCCTAATTCTTATCATTTCAAGTTCAAGTTTTACCTTTTTTTGAAGCAAATATCTCCTTCCCTCTTGCTCATGTTGACTGTGAATGCAAAGTAATCTGCGTTCAATAAAGTAGTAGTCAGACATTGTTGGGGAATTGGGAATTGTTGGCTATATGTAAATAATATTAAGCAGTGTGTGGTCTAGACCTGCTCTAAATAAAAAGTGCAATGAGAGGACTTTAGTTATGACATGGTGCAATATAAATAAAACTGAAACTGAATAGGCCTACATTTGAAATAACAAACCTGGATTTTAACATGTAACAACACAGCCAGGTAAAATTCCTAAATTTCACAATGAAAACAAAGGACTGCTTGTTCTAAAAAGACTCACAAAAGACTTAATAAACTCTTCATTGATGTCAAAATGTATCTCTACAATAACTAATACTCAATTTCACTGATTGCCTAAACACCAGTGTTAGCTAACTACTAGATAAAAAATATGACATTTTATAATGGTAATGAAACGATAGGGTGGGCTATCAGCTATCAACTTCGTGAGCTAACATTAGATGGCTCATTTTAAGTTAAAGAAAGGCTAATTATGAAACTCTGCAGGTAGAAAAGTTAAGTGTATTAAAGAAGCTAGATAGCTAACTGCTGACATTAACCTACAGTGTCTTTGATGCACTGGACTGGAGCATCTTCAAGCGATGCAGACAAGACGTTCAACTAACGTCAAAGTTAGGAAATGGTGTCTGAAATCGTATTTCAAGATTCTTGAATATAAGGCATGAATATAGGAAATATATTGTAATTTCTGGGGGGGTCCAAACCTTAATTAGGGGGATCAGACCATCCGAATCCCCCCTGTAATTTGAACTATGATGCTACTTCATACTTATTCCACTATAGTTCAGAGGGAATATTGTACTTTACCAAACATATCTGGCAGTTATAGGTATTACTTTACATACAAAACTCATGGTCTCATACACTGTTCCATATTAAAATCCCTGAGTATATAACATTTAAACTTACACACCTGTGCAGTACCCCTGCTGTCTGATCAGCATCTTGATATGCCACACCGGTGAGGTGGATGGATTATCTCTGCAAAGGAGGCTGCTCACTGAAAGAAATAGGCCTTTTGTGTACATAGAGAAAGTCTTAGATCTTTGAGTCCATGAATGGGGACAAAAACCCTCATGTTTATAATTTTGTTCAGTGTACATTTGGTCTGAATCCTGTCCTACATAAACATAATGTAGCATTATTTATTCTTATCTGGTGGAAGAAATTACAGAATATAAGTATTTTCTTGAGACCTCTGAACTTTAACTTTTATAGTTACTGAAGAGGAACAACTGGAAAGAAATCCTACCATGAAACAAGACAGGGGAAATAGTTGCCATGGCATAAAGGAAAATGAGGAAAACATGTCTAGTTTTGCATCCTCACCACAATAATCCACTTCGCTGTCCTCAATAAAAAGTGCAAGACATTTGTTAGCCAAGCTAACGGCATGGCTCTTAGGATGTCAGTGTCGGTCTGTTCATCGATTGGCTGGTTGGTCCATCACTTTGGTCCGTTAGATGGGTAGCCTTGAAATTTGGTGCAGCTGGTCACGGTCCTCAGAGAATGAATCCTACAGACTTTAGTTATCCCTTGAGCTTTCTTCCAGCGCCACCATTAAGTGATTTTTTTGTTGTTGTTATTGCGTTTGTAATAGGCAGAGCCTGTGTGCTTTTTAAATTTATAATCACCTCCATCCTTGCTCACAATATTGTTAATCATCTGTACTGTCTAGTAAGTAAAATCAAATGCATGTTGGTGGTGGGGAGGTCTTAAAGGTCAAACCTTCCAAGGGGCCTGAAGTGGAAGCCATGAATGCACTCAAGCTGTGGCACTCATACAGACACATCCCCTGGGGTGTTGCCTACAAGTCGGGCAGGCTTAATGGCGTGTTGTTGTCTGCACCTGTGTGCAAATAAGTGTGCCCCGATCTGTATGTTTGCATGTGTGTGTGTGTGAGTGTGTGTGTGTTTGTGTGTGTTGGCCTGTGTTTAATTTACTGTTAACTCACTCAACACTGTGACCCACAGAAGTTATTCTGAGAGCACCAAGCGTCCACAAAAGCATGGACTAATGATGCAAAGAAATGGATCCTTTAGTGTGTTGGCCTCTGCAGGCCTGTGGTGGGTTAATGAGGTTTCAGTCACTGCTGGCTTTCCCAAAAGCTACATACAAAGGTTTGGTTAAAAATAACTACTCTAAATGCTTTTGGGTGATCCATTCAAGTGAAGTAGCAGGACATTAGGATGGAGCACGGTTTTACATTTTCAAATGAGCTAATTATGGTCTACTTAAGACACAGTAGATCCAGCTATATATACACCATATCTATTTTTTCTACTACATGGATTCTAAAAGCGTCTGCTAAGACTGTAGCAATCCTCTCCAGTGCTCAGTTAGGCTGTGTAAGGCTGCCATCAGTGATTAAAGGTATGTTGTGGAGTGTGTTTTGAAGTTTGTGATCATCATGTTACGTTGTCACCACAGACATGGGGCCATGTCATATTTGGGATCTTTTACATCCCAGGATGGTGCAGAGTAGTCTACGAGGCGCCAGACAGGGTCCATATCCCAACTTCCCATCCCATCACGATACCTCTGCTGTCCTCGTGGTCTAACAGGAATGGAATTACAGAGCTGTGTAGACTGACAAACTAGCTCAGTGCAGGCGGAGTTCTAACTTATCCTTCGGAAACTTTTGAGATCATTTTTAAGAAAATACACCTGCAGCGTAGTCTCAGCTATCAGTTCAGGGATATCAGTGAGAAGAGTATAGTTATTTTCCACAATTAACATCAGAGAGGCATTCAAAACTTTCCTGTTTGACATGCAGTGAAAATGAAGCAACGACTATCAATTCCAAAACAAAGTGTAGGGAATATTAACAGCAAATGATGACTGCTTCTGCCTTTACATGATGGAAAGTTCATCAGGAGCAGTGAGGCAAATGTTACCAAAAGATCATCTGTTTTCTGCTGACATAGCCAAGTAGATCCTCTGTCTAATTAATCACTCACAATGTCTTCAAGTTCATAGTGCTCAGTCCTCTGAGGAAATCAGTGATCTGGGCTGTTACAGGAACACTTTGACATTTGGGAAACTATGCTTGTTTGCCATCTTACACAGTCAGACCTGAAGACTAATATCGGTTTTCAGCTCTGTGCATTCAGAACAGAGATAGGACGTGACAAATTTTGCTTAACTCAAGGCCTTGAAGCCAACGAAAACAGACCTGTTCCCTCAACGGTGAAAAAGTACGCATTACAGCAACTCAAACCCTTACAAAGCTTTCACACTGCTTTCCCTCTGAACAAGAATATATCCCAAAACATGCTTGATGATATAACAACCATATTTTCAATTATCAAGATGTTTTCCAATATTTATACTTGGACAAACAACAACTTATTTTTGATTCTGAACAATAAACAAACATGATAACTATGGGCATAGGTGCTCTGGTGGACAGATGTCCCAGTTTCTCTGGGATTGTCCCGGTTTTAAGCTGGGTGTCCCGAGTCACAACAAATATCGTAATACTAAAATGTCCCAGTTCTCAACATTCACTACCAAATTATCCCATTTTCTACCACAATTAATACAATAATGATACTTATTTTCAGAGCTTGCAGTTCTGTCCCAACCATTACTTAACCCAATATAAAACATTAACAACAAACCAACCATGTTAAACACTAATTTGTATGTGTGCTTCATTGGTCAACGTGGTGTTGTCAAGGCTCTTGCTAGCCAATGAGTTACAAACAAGCGTCACTTGTGGCACTTTCTGACAGAAACAGTCAGTATGCTAACGGTTAGTTGTCATGCTGAAGAGAGCTCCAGGAGGCTTTCCCCTTCATCAAGTACCTGGCAATAAAACTTCTGTTCATGGCATTCATGGTGTTGAAGGGTGCGCTCAGTAGGTGTGCTACGCAGTGAAATAATCGTCCTAATAATTGTCCATCCTGATGAAAACAACTATAGTGTGTCATAATTGTATACATGTGCGTGCACGTGAATGTGCCCTTTTGAGGGATCGAAAATCTGGCAACCCTACTTTATACTATTATCTGAGACACATCCGTCAAAGTTCAGTGGCTATACTCAGAGTACCAGGGTTACCATGTTACCACATTCTTTCTCATATCCTATGTCCTAATGGGCTC